CAAGAGGGGTAAATAAGTTTTTAACACCATCCTAACAGATGACCAAATATGTTAATTAATGGAACGTTGAAAGTAACATGTGAAGAAAAAAAGTTGGGGACATAAATAAGACAATGAGCGAAGATTGAAAACCTTTACTTTTGAATTTGTTCTCTGTGCCCTTGCAATGGAGAAACTTGCCTTAGAGAGTAAGTATACTGATCGATGATATATCATAATCTAGAATATGGCATCTAATTGATCTTTAATACTTCATCACTTCATCTCACCTTATGGAATGGAATCAGATTTTGTTTTGACTTCTATATCTGTCGATATTTTCTTTATATATGAATAGGATGCGCATAAGAATGTGCAAGAATTTCCCCGCTTGCTTTCAAAAAAAGGTTCTTTTCTGTACAAAACCAGACATCAAATACATTTAATAATACAGAAAGAATGCTTATTTACATGTCCAAGTGCTTGCAGGAATATATCTTTGTTCTGCTTTGTAGATAGATGGTGCATATTTAATGATGAAAGATAGTGAGAAAAAGGAGATTTTTAGGAATATTTGGTTCCTTTGCACTAAAACCCATCTTTAATAATTTCTTAAGCCCATCCATCCCACGACATCTGATATTCTGAATTTTCTTTTCAGAGTCAGCGGCCATTGTGAATTGATCCACATTTGAAGCATTAATATGTGGTGTATGAGTACCTATTTCTTTTAACAAGGTTGATATTTCAATATTAAACCCTACGTTTTGATATTATATTAGAGCTCAACAAGCGAAAGCATTCGTTTTCAAAATGCATTAAATGAGCCACTTAAATCCCACTTCATATATATAAAAAAAAAATAAAACCAACACATAAGATACTTTTGAGAAGGAACCCAAATATTGTTACAAGGGGCTATCTAGATACTATTCCCCTCCGAAAGGGTTATTTTTACGGAAGATGCTACATGTACATCCTCTTTTTCTTGTCTAATCTTTTACCTACACTCACAATAGGGGGTGGGGACCACACATTTGAGAGTTTTTTATTCAAGCAGCCCTGGGCACATGTGAGAGGGTGTAACATTTTCGGTACAAATAGAATTTTCCTATTTTTATAATTGAGAGACAAACATGAATGGAAAAGAATATTGGATAGTTCACCATATGCAAAGTAATAGGTCATTTGGGAGTGTTTATTAATTGTTTAACAAAGTTATTGAATAAAAATAAAAGAAAGAAAAGGAATAGTAATGAACAGCTTTCTCTTGAATATATATTAGGCTAAGATTTGAACTTAAGGAAGAGATGCCTTTGAGGAATATTTTCTTGAATTGGACTAGTTCGTTTTCATCTTCTTCTCTCTTTCCTTTATATATCCATCCGAGAGACCTATTCACAATGGTTAAAGTCTTCAAAACATTATTTGGCTCTTTCATTTCTGCACTTGCATACTGTTTGTTTCACCATCAAATCAGCAGCAAAAGGGCGAATAACAGCTACCACTACCAGAACATGGCCAAGGGCCGACCACTTTCGTTGCAGGTTTTTGCTTTGATCTCGAGTATCAAATTGTTACTTGGTGTCTTGTTTAGGTTGCACATATTTTGAAACTGCTCTTTTCGCCCTGTATTCTGCTGTTTAAGTTTTGAGAGTGAATATCGAATTTTGTTAGTCTATGGATTCTCTCCACATATATCTTGCTTACATATTATTTCAGTAACCACTATATCCATTAAAAACCACTTGTGATAAGGAAAAAAAATTCTTTTTCCGCGAGATAGTTTAATATTAACGTATATTTCCTTGTTAATTCCTTCTAATCTTAGAGATATTTTATAATATTTCCTTACCCTCTTTTTTGTCTTAGCTAGGATGAATATGTGAGACTGCACAGGTTGATCGATGTGAAATAATACAGAACTGAAGATTATTCTGATTTCCTCATTATTATCACATATTACTTCGACTCTAGGTTACTCATGATCAACAATCAGTTTATTGTTAACTTCAGTTACCGGCTGATTTTTTTTTTTTTAAAAGATATGTTATATATCCCCTTCTGTATAGAAGGTTGTGAAAAGGTTGTTTCATTCATGACTAGGCCTTACCATGTGAATGGAATAATCTTCAATAAATTTTCTAGTTTGTGAATTATTTTAGAATAATGTTATTCATAGTCAGTAACTGCACTAGTCAGTGACAAATTGTTATTTGATGTATTAGGCCACGTTTGATTGGCCTTTTTTTCCTTGGAAGTTGGAAATAAAATTTCATTTCCTTGCTTTTGACATATTTGATAGGTAGTATTTTCTAGGTAAAACAAATTCCTACCCCATGCCCCACGCGCCACAATT